TCATATATATATAGTCATACAAAACTAAGTATTTTTACGCAAAATACAAAATATGGTGTAAATGTTGCAAATCTCATTTGACAAATATTATAATATACCAAAAGTAATATAGAAATACAAATAAAAGAATATAGTTTAAAAAGTTATACAGATAAATTATTTTCATATGAGTATTAACTTTATAAAGTCGTATAAGTCAAAAAGTACAAGTAATTAATTTTCATATAAGTATTAAGTAGAAAAGTCATATAAGTAATAAGTTTAAAAGTCATACAGGTAAATAATTTTCATATAAGTATTAAGTTTAAAAGTCATACATTTTTATTTAATTATTATGTATATTATTTCTTAAAAGTAAATAATTTTCATATAAGTATTAAGTTTATAAAGTCATGTAAGTCAAAATATCATACAAGTAATAAATTTTCATATAAGTATTAAGTATAAAAGTCATATATAAAGTAATTAAGTAATAAAAATTTTATATAAGTCATATAAGTATTAAGTAAGTAATAAATTTTCATATAAGTATTAAGTATAAAAGTCATATAAGTATTAAGTTTATAAAAGTCATATAAGTAATTAATTTCATCATATAAGTATTAAAGTAATAAAAGTCATATAATATAAGTCATATAAGTATAAAATTTTCATATAGTATTAAGTTTATAAAGTCATATAAGTAATAAATTTTCATATAAGTATTAAGTTTATATAAGTATTAAGTTTATAAAGTCATATAAGTAATAAATTTTCATATAAGTATTAAGTTTATAAAGTATAAGTAAAAAGTCATATAAGTATAAAGTCATATAATAATTAAGTTTATAAAGTCATGTAAGTAATAAATTTTCATATAAGTATTAATATAAATAAAATTTTCATATAAGTATTATAAAAGTCAGTAATAAATTTTCATATAAGTATTAAGTTTATAAAGTCATATAAGTAATAAATTTTATATAAGTATTAAGTATAAAAGTCATATAAGTATTAAGTTTATAAAGTCATGTAAGTAATAAATTATAAAGTCATATAAGTATATAAGTATAAAAAGTCATATAAGTATTAAGTTTATAAAGTCATGTAAGTAATAAATTTTCATATAAGTAAGTTTATAAAGTCATATAAGTAATAAATTTTCATATATAAAAGTCATATAAGTATTAAAGTAAAAGTCATATAAGTATTAAGTATATATAAGTATAAATTTTCATATAAGTATAATTTTATATAAGTATTAAGTTTATAAAAAGTATAAAAATTTTCATATAAGTATTAAGTTTATAAAAGTCATTAAGTATAATATTAAGTTTCATATAAGTATTAAGTTTATATAAGTAAGTAATAAATTTTCATATAAGTATTAAGTATAAGTTTATAAAAAGTAATAAATTTTCATATAAGTATTAAGTTTATAAAGTCATATAAGTAATAAGTTTTTCATATAAGTATTAAGTAATAAAAGTCATATAAGTATTAAGTTTATAAAGTCATGTAAGTAAAATAAAAGTATAAGTATCATAAGTAAGTAAAAATTTTATATAAGTATTAAGTTTATAAAAGTCATATAAGTAATAAATTTTAATAAGTATTAAGTATATAAGTCATATAAGTAAGTTTTTAAAAGTCATATAAGTAATAAGTTTAAAAGTCATACAGGTAAATAATTTTCAAATAATCTTTAAGTTTATAAAGCCATATAAGTAAATTATTTTCATATAAGTAATAAATTTTCAAAAAAAAAACAGAGTGCAAAAATAATTTTGATAATAGTTATAAGCTTGCTTATAACCATAGAGAGCTCTGAAAATCATATAAATTTCCCATGGATATTTGAGTTTGTAAATTTTAAATGGGTAAAAGTAAATTTTCCATACGATTTCGGGTTGGTGAGGTCAACGTGGCAGAAAACATATATAACAAATCTGCACAAATTTGTTCAAATTGACATGACTGAAATAGTACTTATATGAAAATGATTAGTTGTATGACTTTATAAGTTAGTACTTATATGAAAATTTTTTATTGGTGAAAACTAGTTAATATATGTTATATCTCTATATATTTCCATATATTTTATTTAACTATGCTATTTTACTGATATGAACTTTTTCATTTAGTACTTGTATGGGAATTTTTATACTTGTATGACTTTATAAACTTAGTATTTATATGAAAATTTTTATACTTGTATGACTTTATAAATTAAGTATTTATATGAAAAAATTTTTTTTATAAGTATTTCAGTAAGTAATTTGCACACGTAAATTTGTGGATTCTTTTATTCCTGGTACCTGCTATAGTTGGTTTAAATAGACAAATTTTGTTATATTAATACAATATGACGAGATTTATTATTCTATACTTAACCAGTAGCATATGAAAGAAATATTTATAATTATTACGCTCAAAAAAATACTTTCATATCATATATTTATTATTTAAAAATAAATATAATTGAATTTGAAATTATTAATTTCAAATCAAATCAAAAAAAATTGTATATATTCTTAAAAAAGATATATACACATTATGCATTGAAATAAAGTAAAATGTATAAAAAATGATATTATTTGAAAGTTTAGCTAATATAAGAAGAAATATCGTTCTTACATAATTAAATAATATTATGTATAGAGAACGAAAATTCTTTTCACGATACAAAAGCAAAAATAATAAGCAACCGTATTTGCAACATAACACACATAACAACAAACAAGCAAACAAGCAAACAAGCAAACAAACAAAAACAAACAAGCAAACAAACAAAACACAGTACCAATTTAATTGGACTGAATGAAAGAAGGCACACAATATAAGAATTAATAATATATATTCATAATATATATATAAATAAATAAAATGGTATTTGGGGGTACCAGAATGAATATATGTATAAAAGCAATCAAAATAAAACTTTATTAAAAAAAAATATTATATAAAAAGCAATAAAAGGAAGAACTGCTTTATAAAAAAGTTAATGTGTTGTCTGTGTTTGTATATAACGGTTGTCTTTTTATATTTTGTGTAATTGTATTGTGTAATTTTCAAATAAGAAAATATCATTTAAAATTTTATATAATATAAAAAATATTATATAAAAAATAATATAATAATATTATTCTGGTTGATCCTGCCAGTAGTCATATGCTTGTCTCAAAGATTAAGCCATGCATGTCTAAGTATAAACTGCTTATACTGTGAAACTGCGAATGGCTCATTAAATCAGTTATGGTTCCTTAGATCCACTCCATCCTACTTGGATAACTGTGGTAATTCTAGAGCTAATACATGCAAAATAAACACGGACCTTTTGGAACGTGTGCTTTTATTAGGCTAAAACCAAGCGATCGTAAGATCGTTATATTGGTTGAACTCTAGATAACTTGCAGATCGTATGGTCTCGTACCGACGACAGATCTTTCAAATGTCTGCCCTATCAACTTTCGATGGTACGTGCTATGACTACCATGGTTGCAACGGGTAACGGGGAATCAGGGTTCGATTCCGGAGAGGGAGCCTGAGAAACGGCTACCACATCCAAGGAAGGCAGCAGGCGCGCAAATTACCCACTCCCGACTCGGGGAGGTAGTGACGAAAAATAACAATACAGGACTCTTTCGAGGCCCCGTAATTGGAATGAGTACACTTTAAATCCTTTAACGAGGATCCATTGGAGGGCAAGTCTGGTGCCAGCAGCCGCGGTAATTCCAGCTCCAATAGCGTATATTAAAGTTGTTGCGGTTAAAACGTTCGTAGTTGAATTTGTGCTTCATACGGGTAGTACAACTATAATTGTGGTATGTACATTACCTTATGTATGTAAGCGTATTACCGGTGGAGTTCTTATATATAATTAATACAATGTATTTTTTATATATTCCTCCTATTTAAACCTGCTTCAGTGCTCTTCATCGAGTGTTGTTGTGGGCCGGTACAATTACTTTGAACAAATTAGAGTGCTTAAAGCAGGC